AGCGACGCGGTGCTGTCGGGCGTGGGGCTGCACGTGGACTCCTTGGAGTCGTCGTCCTCAGACGAGCAGCGCGCCTCGCCCTTTTTGGCGCCCGCCGCGCCCGCCGCGCCCTTGGCGCTGGCCGCCCGCTCTTGTTTTCGGAACTTGGCGCGGCGGTTCTGGAACCAGACCTGTGGGCACAGGGGCCGGTCAGTCCGGCGGTGAGGGAAAGGGTCGAAGAGCGCACAAGGTCGGCTCGGGGCAGGAGACGCAGGTGACACTTAGGTCCGGAAAGGGCCAGGAGGATTATCAGCAGTTGGAGAGGTCCAAAGCCTTGAGTGCTGCCTCCACCTTCCCCTGTCACCCGGCAGCCCGGCAACCCGTTGTCCTCTCTCCGCTCCTTCACCGGCCCCCGTCCTCCAGGCCCTGGGGTTTTTGCCCTTAGGATCTCCTCATCCGCGAACCCGCTGCATACCGTTATTCTGGGTCTCCTGGAGGAAGCTCTACCTTTACTCTCTTACCCTAAAACCTGCACCGCAGTTCCCTTTTAGGAAGCTGGAGGGATCCACCTGGGGGGTCCCAGGGCGGTGAAGAGTGGATTGGGGGACTAGGGAACGCTCATGTCCAGGGCTTCCAGTCAAAACCGACCAGCTGAACGTGGGATTTGGAAACCCTGGCCCAACTCTCCTGCTGCTGCACCAGCCCCCAGCTCAGGCAATCCCGGCTCAGGGGTTCACAGCTGCAGCGGTGGGGAGGACACCTGGAAGTGCTAGCTGCACGCCCCCCTCCGCCTCCCAGAGTGCCCTCTCTGTCCACTTGGCTGCCTAATCCAGGCTTCTCAACTAAAAATTTGAACTTCGAGGTCTAAGATAAAAGGGGGTGGTGGAGCTAAACATCTGGGGTCTTCGGAGAGTCCAAGTCTTGGCCCCAAAGCCTCCCCTGGCTGCCCAGACACACCTGGACTGTGTCCTGGTCACTGGCCCCTAGGTCCTTGCTTCCAAGTTGCAGCTGTCCTGGACCCCTGTCCCCTCCCAGAGTCCCCTGTACACGTGTGCGTGCGTGTACACACACGTGCATACACGCACCTGTACGCGAGCCTCAGTGAGGTCGATTTTGAGCGCCAGCTCCTCCCGCGTGTAAATGTCTGGGTAGTGGGTCTCTGCGAAGACGCGCTCCAGCTCCTTGAGCTGTGCACTCGTGAACGTGGTGCGGATGCGCCGCTGCTTGCGCTTCTCATGTAGGCCCGATGGCTCCGGGAAGAACTTGTAGGGCACTGCAGGTGTGTGCCAGAGGGCAGGGTCAACGAGAGAGGAGCGTTAGAAGCCCAGCTCAGCCCGCTGTGTCCCGCCCTACAGGAATCGCTCACCACCCCTCCCCCATCCATGGCCCGGCCCCTCGGTTTGGTCCTCACGGTCTCGGAGCCTGAAGTGGTGAAAGAGAGAGAAGGAGGGGAGACCAGGGACTCAAAAGCGGCCTGAAACCAGGAAGCCAGCATTCGATCCTCCAGCATCCACTCCTCCACCTGTCACTGGCTTTGCACCAAGTTCCCTCTAGTCCCCCATCCCTGTCCATTCCACCTGCTCCTGTTACCCTCTCCTTAGGGGTCCTGTGTCTCTTCCTCAGCCCGCTGCCCACCGGACTTTAGGTCCTGCTCTGTCCACACTAGCCCAGGATGGCTGCCAGCTTTCATCTGCATTAGGAGTCTCTCCACTAGCCAGTCCTGGGCCTTGAGATGCTCCCGACAGGTGTCCTTCAGCCCTGCCATTGGCTCCCCACTATGTACAGATCTGGTCCTCTCCATCCTACTCCTGGGGCCTCATTTCCTCAGCCCTACCTCACATTCCTGGTCCCCATTCCCCTCCAGGTGTCCTCTCCTGTTCCTCATCTTCATCTTTCTGCACCCAAATTTCTCTTCGGCTTTCCCCATCTGGACCACTCTTCTCTTCGTGCCTCCTGAGAAGGGATCGTATGCCTTTCTACCGAGTTTTTGCCCTTCTTCCTCCCAGGTACCTACTCTATGTCCCATGGCCCCTAGCTCCCTTCCCAGCCCTCCCTCACTCCCTCCTTGTACTCCACCCCCCCTCCCCACACCCCATAGGCAGTGTTTTTGACACTATTTCTTCGTCCCTGTCTCTAACCCTGGTTTAGGTTTTTGCATGTTCCTTGGGGTCCCGTATCTCCATCCTTGTCCCATCTCTCCGGGTCCGTCTCTCTCCTGATCCTTGTCTCCATCCCTATCCTCATGTTCATTATCTCTGTTTCCAGCCTTTTTGGGTCCCTGTCTCTCATAATTCAGGTCCCGCATCACCTGGTTCTTATCTCCGTCCTCCCAAGTCCAGGGCTTCATTTCTTTCAGGATCCTTAGTCTTTCCATTATCCGCCTATCTTTCTGTACCTTACCCCAACTGCTCATCTCAGAGTCCCATCTCTCTGGAGCCCCCTCCCCATTTCCTGTCCCCATTTCCCCAATCCGTATTGTCCTTTGGCCCAGGGCGGCCAACCTCCTCATCCCTGTTCTAGCGTGCGGCTGCACCTCATGGTTCTCATTTCCCCAAATCTGGGCACTTACCCCCATCCCCACCTGTCTTCTACTTGGGACTCCCATGGTCTTCCCAGGAGGGGAGGAGATAAGGAGACTGGGTGGGGCAGCTTGGGACCCTAACTGAAGAGGTGGAGATGTCTGAGAGGCTCCGTGAGACTGAGGGTTCCACAGGGGCTTGGAGCAAAGGGCTTACTCAGGATGTAGGAGCTGCCTTCTGAGTTCTGTAGCACTCTAGCTAGAGGAGTTGGGAGGGGTGGGTGAAAGTGGCCCCCTTTTCTATGGCAATGAGAGCTGGTTTTGCTGGTGATGAAGGGTTTGGGCCTGGGGCAGAATGGGTCCAAGACAGGGTCGGAGGGGCCTGCTGGTGCCAGGGCTCTAGCAAGGTTCCAGTCTGGAAGCACAGCTGCTGCAGGAGTCCTTGCTGGGGATCGTGCAGCACTGGGGCAGGGGTGAGATAGATGAAGGTCGGCATGGACTGAGCTGAGTCTCTTGCAAGGATACAGGCGATGGAGACGCTTGGCGGTGGTTAGTCTTTGCAGGTGAGGAGGGAGGGCCTGCTGAGGGGCCAGGGCTGGACTCACGATTTATTTCCTTGACTCACAGGGCACAGGATAGAGACTGGCAGCGAGAAATAGGGCCAGGAGGGATAGGAGGGTGGGGCTCATCCCCGCCAGAGGACCCTGGTATTGCTGGGGGTCTCACAGAGCTCGGGAGGCTCTGGCCAGGACAGGGATGGGGGTGGCTGTGGGGAGTCGCATTCACTTGACGAGTAGGGAAGGGACTAGGGGATCTGCAGGGTTTAGAGGGAGGGGTGGGCTGGGGCTGCGCTCACCTGCCGAGTAGGGCGCGGGCTGGTGGTCGCGCAGGGCGCCAAGCGCGCAGTTGGAGGAGCCGAGCGCGGGGCAAGGCGGCCCGGCCGCGGGGAAGGTAGGCCGCAAGGGGCTGTACTGGAAGCCGCCAGGCTGGCTGCAGGCGCCGAAGTCGCCGTAGGCGGACGCCTCCATGGCCGCCACGCACGAGTCGTACGAATTGAGGTAGGAGTAGTCCATCGGCCCGGGGGGCGGGGGCCGGGCCGGGCCCGGGTCGGGGTCCCGGCCGGGTGGAGGTCGGGATGGAGATTCCGGCGCCAAGCGCCAAGGACCCGAGGCCGGCTCTGAGCGCCCAGGTCTGCCCGCCCCGTCGCGGCTGCACTGTGCCCGGGTGCAACGCAAGTGCAGCCCGGAGAGCCCGCGCGCCTTTTAACGCGCAGGACCCCTTGGAGGGGGCGGGGCGGGGCGAGCTCCGCGGGGCGGGGCCTGGGTGGCCCAGACCCCGCCCCCAGCCACCCCGACCCCCGCCCCAAAGGGTCCCTGCTGCGCCCTTCAGGCTCCCGAGGGGCGGGGCGGGGCTGCGCGGGACCCCGGCCCGGAGTCCCCCATCCTGTCTCACTCTGGCCCAGACCTTCGGGGCCCACACCTCGTGCCACGCGGGAGGGTCCCGACCTCTTTCGTGGACCTCCCCACCTGCGGCCAGGAGGAGAGGGCGGCCCCGCGGCGCTGGTGTGCAGAAGTTAATTCAATTCTTGGGGCTAACTGAGTTATCCGGCCCTCGGCCCCGCCCTCGGTGAGGTCTGGTCCCGTCCCCGCGGGGACCAGGCTGATCTGGAGGGGGATGGAGACGGGGACAGACGGACGGGGACGGGGACGGGGACGGGGAGGGAAGTGGGTACCGAGAGGAGGCAGAGACGGAGACAGGCGAGGAAAGGAGGACGCCGTGATGGAGACGGGGACAGGAAAGATCCAGGTACACAGAGGGAGACGTGGACGAAACATGTGCAAGAGAAAGGCTGGGTGGACATGGGGACAAGGCAGGGACGGAGAAGCAGAAGGGGCCGAGGGGCCGGAGGAAGAGTGCGAGGCTGGGAAGGAGGTGGAGAGGGGGAGGGACGAGGCTGGACGGCTGCAGGGGCCCCGTGCTGCGCAGCGGGAGAGCAGGGGACAAACCCCGGACAGTCGCCTGGAGACAGACACACGCGGGGGGCGTCTCAGAGCCACAGGGCCGGGGACAGACCGCGGCGGAGCTGAGGCTGAGGGCGGAGGGAAGGAGCCCGCGGGGAGCTGCGACCTGCGGCCCGCGGAGCGGAGCACAGAGGCGGAGGCCGGGGTGGGGCAACCCCACGGGCTCGGAGCGGGGCGGTCGAGGCCGAGGACCTTCCATCCTGCCTGGTCCCGACGGCCACCCGAGCCTGCACCTTCAGGGCCCCGCATGCCTCTCCTTTCCCTCTGCTCCTTTCTCTCCCCGCCGCTGCCCCGCTGTGACCTCTGGCCCAGGCTGTGTGTGATGGATGTGTGTGTGATCCTTTCCCTCTCCTTCAGCCACTACGGTTCTCCTGAGTCACTTTCTTCTTCAGGAAGACCAGGTAGGCTCAGTCTGCTGCTGGCTACAGAGGTCCTCCGTGGACAGTCACCAGTTCTCCATGCTGTGGTGTAACGGGACACACAAAATCCTTCCTAAGAGGATGAACAGAAACCCCTTCTGCCTCTGCGGCTCATCTGAGGGATGAAATGAGGCGTTTTCTCAGGGTCCCCAGCCTTCTTTCTAGGCTAGAATATTCTAGGGTCCTGCGGATGGGGAGCCAGAGCAACCAGGAGCAGGGCAGGTTCTCCTGATCAGCTGACATCTTCAGGGGTTGAGAAAAGGACCCCTGGAATCCCTCTCACCAAGTTCACCAGCACTGTGGGGCAGTGACTTCCTCAGGTCATTCATTCCCCTTGTGACACCTTTGCTTGACACACAGGACTATCTGTCCTCAATTTCTGGATTTCTTTGAGGTGTTTTTCCAATTTTTTAAAAATATACACACACATAAAATTATCTGGGCATGTGGGGCATACCTGTAATCTCAGCATTCTGGGAGGCTGAAGCAGGAGGATCACAAGTTCCAGCCACGTCTGGGCAATTTAGACTCTGTTTCAAAATTTTAAAAATGAAAATAAAAAAGGATTAGGGTTATAGCTCAGTGTGAAGACCTTGTGTTCACTTCCCAGTACCAAAAACAAAACAAAACAAAACAAAACAAAACAAAAAACAAAAAACCCATAAAAGTTATCATATTAAGGACTTTTAATTGTGTGGTTAAGTGTTGTTAAATATATTCATCATGTTTTGCAGTCCTTTCCACCATTCATCTCCATATCTCTTTTTGTCTTGTAAAATCCAAACTCTGCACTCATTCAGCAATAACTTTCCCTTCCCACCCAGCCCCAGCCCCTGGCAACTACCAATCTACTTCCCATATCTATACGTTTGACTATGCTAAATATTTCATATAAGTGGAATCATGTGTTCCCGCTGTCTCAGAGACCACTGTCGGGCCATGTCATTTCTGCAGTTGGGTCACTGAGCCAGTTTTTGTGACTGGTTTATGTCTCCTTGTATGAAGTTCTCAAGTTTGATCCACATTGTAGTATGTGTCAGAATTTCTTTCCTTTTAAAGGCTCAATAATATTCTATGGTGTGTATATATCCCCTCTCCCGTGTCCATTCTTCCACCGATAGACACTTAGGTTGCTGCTATGTTTTAGCTACTGTGAGCAGTGCTGCTATGAATGTGGACACATGAGGATCTCCTGGGGACTCCGCTTCCAATTCCTTTGGGTTTATACTCGAAGGTAGAATTGCTGCATCATATCATAATTTTACAGTATTTTTATTATTTGAGGAACTGCTCTACTATTGCTTGTAGTGGCTGTGCCATTTTATATTCCCCCAACAGTGTACAAGGTCTCCAGTTTTCCACATCCCTGACACTTGTTATTTCCTGTGTCTCAAACTGTTTTTCAGGTCTAAACTTGTAGGGGTTGAGATCTGACAGCTCAAATGCTTCAACAGCCCTTCCCACTGGTGGTGTGAGGTGCACCTCTCTCCTTGGACACATCTGCAGGGAGCACAGAGGATCTCAGGACTGGGGAATCAGACGAGACCACCACTATCCCAGACCCTTCAGTGGCTCTCCATTGCCCATCCAGTCAAATCTAAGCTCCTACTCTGGTCTGCAATGTAATCAGCAACAAAGCTCCAGCCTGCTTTCTCCTCATCTTGGCTTTCCTTTTCTTTTTCTTTTCCTTTTTGTTTTTTGAGACAGGGTCTTGATAGTTGGCCCAGGCTGGCCTCCAACTTTCAATCTTCTTGCCTCAGCCTCCCAAGTGCTAAGATTACAGGCACCTGCCGCCAGCCACCATGCCTGGCATCATCTCGGCTTTCTTTGCAGCCTTGACAACAATCTTTTTGTTCAGAGATGCTTTCTCTGGGTGGAATGCTCACCCCATTCTCTGTGTTCTACGCCCTCCCCCGGTACCCCAACATGGTATTATTTAGCCATTGTTTTAACTTGGAATTGCTTTCCGGAAGCCTTTCCTGATGTTCCGAGATAAGGTTGGGTGTCCCTGCTGTGTCCCCACCCCCCATACCTCCCTCTCTTTTGGTACTCAGGTCACCTGGCTAAGTGCAAGGTCTTTGGATGGAACTGTGTGCTTTTGTCACTTTCTCCCCAGCCTTACCATGTGGCACATCCTAGGCTTCTGGTATCTGATTTTCAAATGAGTCAACTCATAGACTAACCTGAAATCTCTGAGCTGAAGAGTCCTGCCCTTGCTTCCAGGGAAGGATTCCTCAACCCAGACTCCTACCTCCATTCTCTGAAGTGGACTAATCCTCCCCTCTTCATCCCTACTCTCCCCAGTGACAGGACTCTTCCTCCTTGGCGTGTCATCCACTGGCTGGAAGAGTCCTTTTTCCTCTGAGGAATTTGCATGTGACCTTATCCCTTTCCTGGGTGACAATGCTGAAAAGCATCAGGAGCACTTGAAACTTTCACAGAGTGACAAGGAAGGGGAGGAGGGGAGGAAAAGAGGCCCATTGCTGCTTCAGGTCCTGGTTCCCACTGTCTCAGCATTTGGCCATGTCATTCCTACAGCTTGGTCCTTCAGCCGGCAAATTCCCTTCCATCTAAACTGCTTTTGGTTGATCATCCAACACTTGCAATCAAGAGTCTTGAACAATACAATCACTGAAGGCTTGACATCCTTCCAGGACATCAAATTGCGGTGCTTAGAAGTTTCATTGTCAAATGCATGGGGCAGAGTCACAGAGCAGGCTGGGCAGGAGCTGGCCTTCCCAGGCCTCAGGTCTGCGGACTGTCTCCACATTCTTCTGTATGTTCAACTGATTCAAGTTGGATTTCTGTCAGTTCCCAACAAGGGAATCCACGTAAACAATTGGGATAAAGTGTGTAATGATGCAGGCAGCCTGTTGGTACAGGGGATGAGAAGTAGCCCAAGAAAGGAGTAGCGGGCAGCAAAGTGGCTTCCTGAGAACTCATCATGAGAAAGAAGAGGACAGAGTGGGACAGACTCTGCAAGGACCTCACACGGGAGAGAGGTGGGTTGAGAGTCTGATGTGGGGAGCTTTCTTCTGACTGAGACCTGCCCCTAAAAGCATGTACTCCCGGGAGAACTAAAAACGCTTTGGTGTGAAACACTGTCACAGCTATCTTGCTGAGAAGGCTCCTGACCGAGCATGATGCCTTCACTTCCAGAGCAGTGGAAGTTCTGGAGCCTGACTGTTGGGTACAGCTCTGGTTGTGCCACTGCCGAGCTCTATGACTGAAGGTGAATTACACAACCTCTCTGTGCCTCAGTTTTCTCATTTGTAAGTGGACTATTTAAATGATTAGAGAAATTAAAACATACAGTGTCTGAATTAATGCCTGGTACACAGCAAACAGTAAGTGAGTTAATTTTTGCCTTAGCCACTCCTACCTCTTCTCGCCCTTACCAAGTGACTGGGCATGGCGTAGCTGACAGACCCAGACCGGATCTGGCCAGGCTGTGTTGCACCTGACATTTGGATGAATCTTGGGGACATAGACCCCATGTTTGCACCACAGCAAAGATTCAGAAGCTCTTAGGGTTCTGCAAATCACCCAGCCAATCTAGTCATCTTTGCAGATGGAGAGGCTGAGGCCCTGGGAGGGCTCCTGTAGAAAGAATACAGGTGGAAACAGCAGGAG